TCTCTTCTTCCGTGCTGCAGTAAGTACCCGACGATCCGCTCAGAGGAGGAGAAGGACCAGTACCGAGCCGTGTTCAACGACCAGTACGCAGAGTACAAGGAGCTCCACGCGGAGGTGCAGGTCACCGCCAAGAAGTTTGACGAGATGGACGCCATGATGCGCAGTCTGCCCCAGAACCCTTCCACCCAGATGGTGAGTGTTTACTCACTCAGAATACAATCGTGTTTTTCACTCAATAGTCAATCAGAACTCCTTTATCAGATTCTATCTGTACTCTATCTTCCAAAATGTAGATGCCATTTTTTTTTATCGCATGGGACTTTTTGTGCATTTATTCTAGAAATGCTATTTAGAGGTACATTTTCCAATTCATTTAACTAATCATAAAGACATTAGAGATGCTGATCAAAAGTAAAGTGCACACTAGACACTTTATTTTGTTAAAAATCAAAGCTAAGATACAGTTTTCTTTTAGTTTTGGTAAAATATTTTTTACTCTTATATCATAAGATGTGTTCCTTGTTTTGTACAGTGTATTTATATTTCAATATTTTACATTCTGCAGAAAGTTTCAGACAAACTACACTCCCCAGAAATGATCTCAAAGAGGTTTCTGAGTTTGGAAACCCTTAAGTGTAGATCATTTTTAACAATGTCTTTGCAAACACTTAAAATCGGCCAACAAATACACATTTGATTGATATTGAGGACTTTTAATCTCACCCAGTTCTCATGTGTGCTCCTGGTAGCCATGCCTTAACAAATGACACACACACTTAGTGCATCATCACACTGGACCTACTTTGCATGGATGAACACAAGTTAACATGAACCCTGCTGGACTGATACCATCAGGGTTTGGTATTATGACAGTGCTGGGTAAACCATTTCTGTCAGAGAATGATTGTGTGTCTGGAATATGCACCCAGTCTTTTTGTTGTTAAAATGTGCCTCATTTCTCCCTCTCATAACTTCCTCTGTTTGCACTTCCTGTTCCTGCTGTACTTCCCCTCCACCCTAAAATTCCTTCTCTGCACCATCCACAAGCACCTGATTGTATTACCTAACTGTACTACTTCATGTATTTCAATCTTTATGGATGATCTTGAATTGAATTCAGTCTCTTGTCTCTGCTTGCAGGAGGTTGATCGCATTAACAGAATCCTTCAGGATTACCAGAAGAAGAAAAATGTGAGCCGATTCTCTTTTTCCGCTGTTTTGTATACAGTGTTGTTCTGCTGCCCATGTTGATATGTTCTTAATAGATACTTAAATCTCTCAAAACACAAATATGTATTTAGATTATTTCTTTATTTTTTTAGATCTCAGTAATTTCTTAAAACAGCTGTTCACTTTAGTTTTTTATCAGACAGAACTAGGTGCATGTTTCGGCACTGCTTTCAGTCATGGATTAATCCACATTTGGTGCATTTGTGAGTTGTGTGGCAGCAGGACATTATATGTGACCCGCTCTATCGAAATCAGTCGGAGGACGCAACGGCTCATTTCAAAATAAACGTGGATTTGCGTAAAAATCTAGTTTTTCGGGGTTCGGGTGTTTGTTTGATTTTAAATAAACAAAGTCTTAGCTTTCAGAATATTAAACTTTTATTTCCAAAATCACACGATAAATATATTTTTGAAGCTTGTAAAGGGAAGATGACAGGCACCTCTCACTCGCCACTCTGCTGTTCCGCAGCGCTGCTTCCCCTCCCTCCCGCTGAAATTATAAATGTAAGGCGTATATTAATCATAGATAACACGACAGGGTCCGTTACAGTTTGTTTTCATCTGATTTCAAATAAACAAAGTCTTGGCTTTCAGAATATTAAACTTGTTTCGGCAAATTCAGATGATAAATACAACTTTGAAGCTTGTAACGGCATAATTACAAGCGGAGAACGGAGTAACTTGACGTCACAGCAGGCATAACAACAGCCGGTGTTTCTCCTGAGTGTTTTCCCCGGGAAACAAACATAATACACACAAACGCAAAAATACACACACACACACACACACACACACACACACACACACACACACACACACACACACACACACACACACACACTCTCGCAAGCTTCCCCCAGACCAGTAATCCAAACGAAAATATTTTCCCTCCGTACTATTTTGATCATTTATTAGCCGCTAATAATCAATCAGATCGATGGATTCCAGAGAAGAGGAAACTTTAAAGGCCTTTTTCTCAAAATGATGACTCGGTGACAGTCATTATATAATGTGACATATTTTGCTTAATATTTGGAGTACAACAACAATCCTGATATCATTAGAAAGCTAGGAATCTCCTCTTTCCAACAGTGTATACAGCTCAAAATGTGTCTTCGGGTCAATGCGATTGATTTCGATAGAGCAGGACACATATGCAGAGTTAAGTCAAATGTAATGACAGTGTGTGTTCATAGGAATACAGGAACATGTCACCCAGTTGGACAGTGTGGCTCATTTATGTTTTTTTAATCAATGGAACTGAGGAAAATATATAACAGGTTGTGGTGCACACACAATACTTGTTAGTAGATATTTATTCAGTGTTGGTTTCCATCTTTTCATTGGATTTGTTTGACGGGGAGAAAAATTGAGAATATCACCAGCGTTACTCATTCATTATAATAGTTAACAAACGGCCCTTGAACAGCTGAATTATACAGTAAAAAGTGTGTATCTCAAACATACATTTTTTATTCTCATCGGTGTTTCTGCTTTATCAAATCAGGACCCGACTTTCCTCGAGAAGAAGGAGCGCTGCGAGTACCTGAAGAGCAAACTGTCGCACATCAAACAGAAGATCCAAGAATACGATAAGGTGATGGAGTGGAACGACGGATACAGCTAAACCTTTAGCAAATATCTGTACCCTGGCACACCTCTGAACACTAATACAGAACTAATGCTGACAGCTGGGCTACTGGTGGGGAAAGTGACATTTTAACTGGAGAGCGAACATGACGCATGTAAATCTGTACAGCTGTTTTTATCTATCAGCAGCTTTGTATGACTGTTCATTAAGAAGTAGAACCAAATGTGACAGTTTTATATTTAAAGAAATGTCTTGACATTTTGGGAAATATGTTTGATCGCTTTCTGGTGTGGAGTTAGATGAAGAAATAGAAATAGCTCTAATATTTGTGAAGTAACTATAAATACACATCAAGAAGCCAGATTAGCAAAAAGCTTGTAAGTGAGCTCTAACAATAACTGTTAGAGCTCTAACAAAAGCAAAACAAAGTCAGCCTATGAACACCTCCATTTCACTAATGTACACGTTATTTCTTATTCCAGTGTAAAATGGAGCTATGTGCGGGACTATTTTCTTAGAAATAGAGGCTAAGCACATAAATAAAACAGATATGGATGATATTTTTACTCGTAATTTTACAAATCAAACAAACGAGATATAAAAAGTGAATTCAAGGCTTTGAAAGTGCTGGTTGGTGGGTTTCGGTTCCTTTGCGCTAAGCTATCTGCGACTGGCTATAGTGTTATGTTAAAATGATAAGACTCCTCTAAGTCTTTGCCTGAAAGCGAATAAGCATGTTTGCCAAACATGTAAAACGATTCCTTTATTTTAAATGGTTTGAATATGCAAATAACTGGATACGAATATACAAGATATTTATGTTTAATACTGTGACTATGATTGTAGCCGAGACACACCACTATACGTTATGACACTGGTATCCCTAGTGAATATTTGCGTTTAATTAGTGGGAAATGGAAGAAGCAAGGGAAAGTTAAAAGGAAAGACGCTGCATTATTTCTCTGCTGTACGTCACATGATTTTCTTTCTATTAGTCCACTTGTTTGCCTGTTTACATTAATTTCACAACTTTAAAGCCTGAAATTAAAACCACTGCTTATCCGGACATATCCCATCTAGCTGCTTTATGTAAAGGATTGTTTTAATTGCACACTGTTTTGTTTTTTTAACGCGTATCTGTTTTTCTAAATCTGGAAATATCCATGTCTGATAGTATAATTTAAAATGTTGTTTGTTCTGTGTGTTGTAAAATTATGTTCTACCATTTCACTGATTAAACATTTTGTACTTTATAGCCACGTAGCCCCCTGAATATCTTCATTTTATCCTCTTTATACTGTACACATTTGACCTCTTGATTCAGTGGGAATATTATCATAGGGTCTGTGTTTGCCTAATGTTATTAAGAGAAATTGTAAATATGTTGCTGTAAATGTCCATATTCTTTCATAATTTAAAGTGATCATTTGGTGCTTTTTGTCGCAAGAATACAATTTTGCTTCTCTACTGACGGTCTGTGTTTTTTTTTGTTTGATCAGCTGGCAGGTACAGTTCCTTTTTTATTGTAAAAAGGAACAAATAAACAGTGCTCTGTTAGAATAAGCTGAATGAAGTTATTAGAAACTACAGAGATGAAATAGGTAAATTAGGTTTACTTGTTCTAGTCGTTTTAGATTTTTTTTAATCAAATCAATGTGACATTCACTGAGTCATTACTTGAATATTGAATTCATTGAGAAAACTGCCATCTTAATACTTTAATAATAAAAAAATGGTGTGAGTGTATACTTGCACCCGGGTAAAAAATAGATACACCACAGGTATTTGGCTATTTACACTAATCTGTTGTAGCAGTAATTACTCAATAATACCTCAATGGCGCTTATTTAAAAATGTAATTTTTATAATAATTATGAAGAATAATCTGAGGATTCAATAACGATAAGGCCCTTTTTAATCATAAGACTTTCATAAGTGTAAAATAATTGTAGGGTACTATATATTTACTTGTTTATATTTACTTGTTTATCCAGTTAGATTTGATTGATGCTGCATTTTAACAACCAAAAAAATGTTGTGTTTGCACTGTTCCGTTTACTGAAGCATTTCATAGTATTTTCCACAGGTATTTCTATGAAGACTAGGTGAGGACTTCCGGTGTTGTCACGTAATGTGGCAGCTGTGAAGGGGGCGGGGCTAAAATGATCGAGAGCGGCTAGGTGTGGCCTGCATTGTTTTTAACAGCAGTCAGTTTCAGTTGAAACATTTCAGGTGGAGCAGAGAGACAGGACGACAGGTGAGTGTGTGCACCTCAGTTTGTGAGATTAGCATCAGAGTCTACTTTAAATCTGTGGTTATTTGCTAAATACCTAATCATTTGAAACCTGTAGCGACAACAAACAGGTGTGTTAGATAGGCCTACTTTAAATCACTTATCTCCTTAGCGCGGCACTTCGACTGTGTTGTCAAATTAATGTGTTGAATTGTCTTAAAAGTGCGTAAATACTGTGAATTTATCCGTGGAAAGTGGTTGAGTTTGTTGTCTGACAAATTATTTCGGATTTAAAAAGAAATGTGGTACTTCAGTAGTTTATATTAACATGAATATCCAAGGCCAGAGATGTTCCAGCCGCCGCCTAACCTGATATTAAAAATGGCCATTTAAAATCGATATGTTATAACATGAAACAGCCCTGATATTATTAATCGGTTTGTTAAACGACAGAATATGTTTTTACTATGGAATTTATCAAGCAAAAGGGCAAAAAGTGTCCCCAGTCCTGAATTATTTAATGTGAGAAATGACTGCCTTGTTTTGGCCTTCTCTTTAGTGAATTTAGTCCCTATCTCATAGTAGACTCGTATTTTATGGTCTTCAATAACCTCAGGGTCATTTTCATAATTTATTTTAAAATGTTCAGGCCAAATGTTGCAGCTCTATTTTAAATAGGTTTTATTAAGTTATGTCCTAACAACATAAATATTCTTTCAGATTATTTTGAACAGAGATTTTAACCAACGGATCCAGCAGTGATGTCCTCGAGGCCGAATGGGAGTCCACCTCCCTACGAATCAGATACTGGATAGTGAGTCTCTTTCAATGAATACAGTATACAGTAAACCTTACTGTTGTTGAATATTTTTGATTTATTTAAATGCTTTCAAATGTTCACCTAGATAAAGCTTAATACAGACTGTTTATGGATACCCTGGAAGCAAAGAAAGGCCACAATAATTTGAGTTTGGTTGAAATGTTGGAACATTTTACTGAATTCTTTATGTTTCATGCGGAATTAAAAATATGTTTGCTTTGGAAATTAAACTAGGGGTTTCTAGGTGGCAATTTGAATATTCCTTTTTCTGAAAAACACTTTTATTTAATTATGGGTTCACAGATTCAAAGCAACTATATAAGTGTTTTGGGTTTTCAGTCGGTCATCTAAGTTTCAAAGTTTGAAAAAATTCATTTTAAATTCCTATTCCCTATTTGACATTTCGGATTAAAGCAATTGATTTTTTTTAAACTTTTAGATGTATAGATAAAAAATTTGACTTTATTTGAACCTGTAACTGACATGAAGAAAACCTCTGAAATCAAGATTTTAAAAATCACACAAATTCTTCGTCACAAATGTAAAACCTCATAAATTCAGACTTACGGTTTTACAAAAAAATATTTCAGGGGTTTTCAATTCTACACATTCAGCTGATTTCTTTGTTACTCTCTTCTCAGTAATGTGCCCCCCCAACCAGCCTATTCCTACTACCCAGACGATGAGTTCCAGCATTTCTACCGCTGGACGTCTCCACCAGGCATCCTCAAAATCATGTCCATCATCTCCCTCGTGATGTGCGTGGCCATATTTGCCTGCGTTGCCTCCACGCTGGCCTGGGACAGTCAGGGAGCGATGGGAGGCTATGGAGGGTCCTACGGGGGAACTGGGGGTGGTGGGTATGGTGGTGGTGGTGGGTATGGTGGTGGCGGTGGGTATGGTGGCGGTGGGTTTGGAGGCGGTGGATATGGAGCTGGAAACAGCTATGGCTACGGTGGGCTCGGAGGAAACTACAATGACCCCCGCAAGGGCAAAGGATTCATCATCGCCATGGCAGCCATCACCTTCATCGCCTGCCTGGCCATCTTCATCATCGTCGTTTCTCACCAGACCCTATCAACAAGCAGGAGGTTCTACCTAGCAGTCGTGATCATCAGCGCTATCTTAGCACTGCTAATGCTAATAGCAGCTATAGTGTACCTGGTGGCAGTGAACCCCGGCGCTCAGTCCTCGGGATCGGCCTTCGGCAGCCAGATCGCTGCACTATGTGCTCCGTACAAACAAACACAGCCCATTGGAATGTTACAGAATCAGTATCTGTACCACTACTGCGTTGTGGAGCCACAAGAGGTAAACACACACTTGAATTTGTTTAAGTCTTTAAAGGGGGATTTGTTGCAGGGTGTGGCCATGTATCAATGTTATATTGATATGGTGATATCAGACTAGATTTCGTTTAGATTTTTGATATCGTAATATGGTAAAATTGTAAGTTTTCCCAATTTTAATGGATGCACCAAAGTAAAGTGTTGTCATTTTCAAATTTGTATTAATTCTATTTACCCACTTATATAAATATAACTACTTCTAATTAAATTACTGTTGTTTATTTATCAAGCATCTCCTTGGGTAAACATTAACCCTAAAATATTTTCACAATATCGATTTTGAGGTATTTGGTCAAATATATTTAGATTCTTTGGATATAATCCGTATGGTCCAGCCCTTATTTGTTGTGTTTGTAACTCAGTTTTTTTCTCCTCTCAGGCCATCGCGGTAGTGTTCGGCTTCCTGGTCGCCATCGCTCTCATCATCATGCTCGTCTTCGCTCTGAAGACTCGCAAGAAAATCCAAAACCACGGCAAGAGCAACATCCTGTGGAAGAGGGTGAAGGTTATCGAGGAGATGGAGCCACCTCAAGATGTAGAGGCATGGGTGAGTTAATTGTTCAAAAACTAGTGTACATGCACATCCAACCCTAATCAAACAGGTGTTGAGCTGAAGGGGAGCACACAATGATGTCAAATAAATAGCTTGCACACACAGCATGGGAGCCCTACTGTGTTCAAGCTGTTTAAGCCATTTGTTTTGAGTTTATTATTCAACCTGACTGTTAGGGAATAATTTGCTTATTCAACCTTTGACACAGTTAATCATTTTCCCCTTTCACTGTCTCTTTTCCCATGGCATAAGTCTACGGCCTTTAGGTATTGCTGATATCTCTTTTAAGGAGGGGCAGCTTGGGCGCATTGTTGTTGCCAGCTTATGACCGAGCACAAGCTGACATGAGATAGTTTATTGTTCAGGGACATCTAGAGGCCCTTCTTTTCTGGAACGTAGGTTCCCTGGCGCACATTCTTTTCTAGGGACGACAGCTCTAGTTAGATTCAGGGTCCATATTTGTTTAGTCTCGCTGATAAAGAATGTTGATTATTACACTCCGAACTAGTTAAAACCTCGAACTACAGAAGAGTTCTTCAGAATTGATTTGGCATCTCTACCCTGTGGTCAACTCGTGGCCCGTGACATGTCTTGTGAATTCTCCGGCCGAAGCTCCAAATAAACCGTCAGTGTTTGCCATCAAAGCTCCAGCTCTCCTCGTGTCTCTCTGAGTCCTGACTCCAATTGCTTCTGAAGTTTCCCTCATGGAATAGAGCTGAAACTATAAGTCAGTACAGTCGATAGACAATTTAACGGAAACAACTTGAATCATTGTTTGTGCCGTATTTACAGCAAAAATAGTAATAATGAACATACTATGCTTCCAGTTGCTCCAATATGAGGATTCGCTGCTTTTAATGTTGTATATGCTTTTTGTTATTTTAGCTGAATGTTTTTTGGGTTTGATTGTTGGTTGGATGAAAACAAAACATTTGAAGACATTACCTTTTTTAAAACTGATATGGGCAATTTCGAGGACTAAAAAAGTGTTTTTTAATTGTATTTAATATTCTAGTTGTTTCCTCGACCAATAAAATAAACTGTAAACTGAGTTGCATGTAAAATCGTTACGTGTGTGAAGCTTGCACTATGAAATATTTGGCATTTTTGCTTTATTATTTAAATGAACGGTAAAGGGATAAAACATTTGGTTGATTAGTTGCTTGACAGAAAATTAATTGACCACTTTTTTAAAATTGAATAATCAAACTGTGATGTTTCAATGTTATTCTCAATCACCCATGATGGTAACCTGTTTAGGGTTTTGGATAAATCAAGACAAGGAGTCCCATCTCATTCCCATTTTCAGTGTTGTTGTTTTTTTAAGACAAAGAAATGAAAAAGACCGCAGCAGATAAATCCACTATTACAAAAACTGCAGGCCTAAAAAGTTAAGTAATTATAGAACAAGTTCATTTAATTTTTAATTGATTGACTCAACCACCTCTTAAAAATGTTTGAAGTTAAAATCAGAAGAAGCTATCGTGGCAGATCTTTTAAGGCCGGTCTTTAAATTGTCTCTCTGATGAAGCAGCAGTTGAGTGTAACAGCCAAAGCAGTAAAACCAGTTTAGTGGCAGTCACCTGTTGCTCAGCGGGGGAGGGGAACCGCTCCTGGTTTCAAGGTGTGGTGTTTACACTGGATGAGTGTTTCAATGTTACACAGGCATGTCCCTATGGTAGGAAGAACTCGCAGCAATAAAAACCTGGACTTTTTATTGCCTATTTCTTCAAATATTATTTACATTTCACGGTGAATCATTCTTTCTGAAGTTATTTTAAGAAGTGTTTGGCAACAACTGTCACATCTGAACTACTCCAGTGTAGCAATGAGTACTAGGTGAGTCATTTTTGTAATGATGACATTCAGCGCAGTGAAGTCCTGAGTTCACTGCAGAGCAATGAAGAGGAAGAACAGGTCGGACTGGTCCTCTTAAACCTCAAATCCCACCAGTTGGCAGACACATAACACTGGTAACATGATACTGGGAGCTAGAGGCATTTACCTTTAGTGTACTTAGTGGAAACTCATGTGAAAAGTGCTGAGGCGACCTGCAGAACATGGTGTTGTTTTGGAGGTGTGCAGCAGGGTGGAGCTCCCATATGTCCCACACTTTCAGAGGACAAGTCCATGCAGGCGGATCATACCAGAGTTGGCAGGGATCCAGTATTTCTGTTCAAGGAAACCGCCTGTATTTTTATCATGGTTGAAAGCACTGTTTACTCCACACTGTAGATCATTTGGGTAAAGCTATATTTTTAACAACAAATCTTGGAAATCACGCCTTTTACTGCGGCAAAGATTTCCTTTCACAGTTTTTTGTGATGATTTACTTTAGTCCAAGCTCAAGTCTAATGTCTTCTTTTACTGCGGTCAAGCCAGCCTCCACTTCGGAAAACACAGTCAAGCCAGCATCCGCGTTGTTTTGCGGTGCGCGAATATCCTATGCATTACGGTAGCGGTCTGGAAAAACTGCCTTCAAAATAAAAGTGCTTACTCGGTCAATAACAAATTATACCAAACATATTAAAATATGTACTATATAGGCCTAATGTGATCAATAATAATGTAAGACAAACTACGTATAACTACCACATTATAACTGACTGAATGTAAAACTTAAAGAGTTTCAAAATAAAAGACCTTTGAAGTCTCATATATGAGCTATCATCCCTCTGTTTTTAGATAAGAATAAAACAAAAACTGTCCAGTATCAAATACTTATTTCACTTCAGGGTGATAGCAGGACACCCCATCTAGTCAGAATCTAGTCTATCACCCTGAAGTGAAATAAGTATTTGATACTGGACAGTTTTTGTTTTATTCTCATCTAAAAACAGAGGTTTGATAGCTCATATATATTAGACTTCAAAGATCTTTTATTTTGAAACTGTACATCAGATTGTCCTGATTTTCTCTGAGTGACTAGATGGGGTGTCCTGCTATCACCCTGAAGTGAAATAAGTATTTGATACTGGACAGTTTTTGTTTTATTCTTATCTAAAAACAGAGGGATGATAGCTCATATATGAGACTTCAAAGGTCTTTTATTTTGAAACTCTTTAAGTTTTACATTCAGTCAGTTATAATGTGGTAGTTATACGTAGTTTGTCTTACATTATTATTGATCACATTAGGCCTATATAGTACATATTTTAATATGATGGTATAATTTGTTATTGATCGAGTAAGCACTTTTATTTTGAAGGCAGTTTTTCCAGACCGCTACCGTAATGCATAGGATATTCGCGCACCGCAAAAAAACGCGGATGCTGGCTTGACTGTGTTTTCCGAAGTGGAGGCTGGCTTGACCGCAGTCTTCTACTGTCCGACCAAAACCCCCAAATAGTCAGTTTGATATCATACAGTATATTAAGGAAGCATCAAGCTGTCCCATTTGTGTAGCACAACATTTTTGCTTAAAAGATCATTTAAACAATTATTTGATTTGTCAAAATACTCATTTAGACATGTTTTTTTTAAATATTATTTTGCTAACATGTTTTTTTCCTCACCTAGGTGAACAATGTGTCTGGAAGCCCAGAAGTGTTCCCAATGTCGGACTACCCCGAGAAGCTGAGCGGCTCCAGGAGTCACCTGGATGATGAGAGCACCAACTATGACAAACCCCCCTACAACTACACCCCTCAGTGAGTATGATAAGGAGGAGGACGTGTGTGATGTTGCACAGTATGTACCGTGCACTAGCACACTGCAGAGGGCAGCGTAAAAACAGTTACACTCTGTGCCCTAATGACACTTTAAATGGTTTAAAATGTCATTGGTAGAGGGAGATTAATTGTAGGTGGAGAAAGCAAGGTACCCAGGTGTAACCAAAATCGTGGATGTTGCAGTTACACAGTGAGTTTTCACCACAAAACCACAGCGTTTGAGCACTCATGCTGCAAACTTTGAATATGCTTTGAATATCCTGAATCCTCAGCAATGTGTTAAAAGTTCAACTTTGTCCTCGAATGCAACACAGAAAAGTTGCTCGGAGCTGGACGAATCTTTTTTAAATTTAATTGTATCCTTGTTATTCATATTGGAGCCACATTTTCTTTTCAGCTTTTATGTTAAACTTGTGTATTTTACATGTTATCAACATGTTCATCACTTCATCAACTTTAACATTGCTATTGGATAATTGTTACTATAAGAAAATGGATTCTAGTCACTGAGATTCTAATAATAACCAAAAATTGAAATAATTTGCTCTATATCTTTTATTATTTTCTGTTAATACTGTATGTCATCAAGTATAAACATGTAGTATTTTAATATGATCAGTATATAGGACATGAGATTGGGCACAGCTTTTAGAACAGTTTTCAGGTGGCTGCCGTCATAAAAAACTTGCTTGAACTTGTTATTCCGCAAAAATGTAAACCAGTCTGTTTTTTTACTTTAAGGAATGTCAGGACATACAACACAGATGTCAGTGTCTCCCAATATGAGCTTTTTTTAATTCAATAAAAACATTGCCAGTTTCGGCTTGAATTACATTGTCACACTGAAACTACGTCAAATACTTTTGTGCTGATCAGGGAACGTGAAGTATGAATAAGGGAAACAGGAAGTCATTATTGACATATTTACTCATTCAAGATGAACTGATAGATCATCATGCTATGTTTTACTTCCTCCTCCAGCATAGAAAGGCAGGGCCATGGGAAGTAGGGGTGCTGCAGCACCCCCTGGTGGAGGAGTAGGGGATCTGCACTTCCACAAGATTAAATACAAATATAATTAAAAAAAAAAGAATTTTCAGCCTTGATGTAACAACATTCATAATTAAGTAAAGATAACACCCTTTTCACCCCGGTTACATTTTCCATTTGCCCTGTACGATGGGCGCTGTAAGTGATGAAAGTGGGGGATGTTGGCTTGTCAGGCGCCCGCAGCTCACAGCCAAAGTGAGAGAGAGAGAGAGAGCGGGGGCGCACCGATACCGGCAGGGATCGTTGTTAGCTTCTGCTGCGCTAACGGATACTGTATAAGAAGCTGTTTCTACAATAATGTGGAGGGAGAGTTCTGTCCTGTCAGACTGAGAGGCTCAGTGAGGTAAAGGACTCTGAGTGTTTAGATAGTTCACTTTAGTCTAAGTTATCTCAGTGGGTATCAAACGGTTTGGTCGCAATTTATGTAAACAAATATTTCCAAGGCACACCTTTATAATTATTGGAATAAATAACAACAGGTTTGAAATCATTCCAATGTATACTATAGGACAGTAACCAAAAATATCGTTTAAAACTGGAGATATTAAAGGTGGGGTAGGTAAGTTTGAGAAACCGGCTCGAGATACACTTTTTGTTATATTCCATGGAATGCTCTTAACATCCCGATAGCAATGAATATCTTAAGTGCTTTGACAAAAAATCCATACAAAAATGTCATCTGTGGAAGCCGTAGTACTGTAGAAAGCACGACCAATCATTTTAGCCGGCCCGGCTAAAATAACTGGATGGCCTACCTGCCTGTCAGCCTTCCATCTGTGCACAAACTTATCTCATGCCCTCATTGGTCATGTGCGCGTTCGTGTGTGTTGGAGGAGGGGCTCTGTAAGGAAGTGGCAGATTTTCTCCGGTTGTGTATTTTCAAATTCTAGCGATCTCGAGCCGGTTTCTCAAACTTACCTACCCTACTTTTAAAAATATGCATGAATAAATAAATGTTAACTAGGTAAAATAAGATATGAATGAACAACAAAAATAAAATAAGTTACATTTATTTGTTATTGGCTATGTTCATATACTTATTTGATTATTAAAATGCAAACCGATCTTTTTCATATGGGTGTTTAGAGTTGTACCCCCTAGATCTAGTCTCTAATTGTGTGCTCAAAGTGCACCAGATTGAAGCATTTTACTTTAAAATGTTCAAAATAATCTTCCCGGGGGGGCATATCCCCGGACCCCCCTAGAGGATGTGACGTCCACCCCCCAATTAAAACATGTTCATACAATAATGAATACATTTGAAGCCTTTTTATATAAGCTGTCCACCATGTCAACACGTTTCTCTTTTTGTAGTGTATTGATCTTTTGTATAGAGGTTTTTCATTGCCAGCTAAAATCTTGCCTAGGGCAGCAAATTGGTCAGAACCAGCCCTGGTGTCATCCCCACAGCACCCCCCATTTGAAACATGTTCCCACGGCTATGTAGAAAGGTGACTAAACAGTAGAAAGATTAAAACATTTTAACTAATGATCATACTTAGAGCAGTTTATTGGATTACAGACGCTATTTTGCCGGGTAAACCATCTCCATCTTTAACGTGAATTGCAGGTTTTTTTTTTATTTAACCAGATAAAAGCATTGAGATAAAATGCTGACCTGGCCAAGAAGGCAGCAACGTTACACATTATTACACAGGTGTGAAAAACGTATGCTCTGTCATTTTTATATATACATTTCTGTATACTCTAACAATATGAATACTCTCCCTTGTTCCACAGGCCTGCAGAAGAGAACATGCCTCTGCAAAATGGAGCTCCCTACAGCAGTATCTCAGAGGTGGCCAGCTCTCGTGGAAAGCCCAAAAAGAGACGAGCAGGCCGGCCGCGCCGGGCCGACGGACAGGAGTACGAAACGGACTACAACTCCTCCGGAGACGAGCTGGACGACGACGACTTCGACAGGTAGGAAGAAACTAAAGACCCACCTCTCTCCCCTCTAAAGTTTAAAGTCTTAAGTAAAGGAAGTGTAATTGACAAAGTCTAATTGAATTACAAAAAGTACAAAAATATGCAGAATGTCTTTTAAACATGTAACATATTGTTTAATACCATACATGTGCATTAACACAGTTTGGCAGCATTTTAATGTCAGTTTATTTATGTGGAGCTGAATTTAACTATGTGAAATGATGATTGTGTTTGCCCTGCAAAAAATAGGAATTAGTTATTGCAAGTCTTTTTTCACCAAATAAAATAAAATCAAGATTACTGGTTTTCTGACGGAAAATAATATGTTGAATAACAAGTGGGAGTATAGCAACATCGTCCTTGCAGTATTTTCACCTACCTTTTCCAACTGATACTGCGGTCAGCTACGTTTCTTTTTGTTGACTTGTTTTGTTGTTCTTCTCTAACTGAAGTGTTCCCTCTTATTTTCTGCTTTAGTGAATACCCTCCCATAAGAAACGAGGTGGAGCGCAATAACTACAAACGTGATTTTGATCGCGAACACCAGGAGTACAAAGACCTGCAGGCGGAGCTGGACGCCCTCAATAAGGGTCTGTCAGACCTCGACCGAGAGCTGGACGACCTGCAGGAGGGCAGCCCACAGTTCCTGGTGAGACTTAGTTTAAATTAACAGTTTAATATTGATTTATTGACTGCCTTATTGAATATAACCAATAGTTCTGTTTTAATTTCAATTATGTTGAAGGATATGCCCAATTTGAAAACGAGATGTATCTGTGCAAAGACACAGCAGTAACTGACAGCATGAGCTCAGAAATGTAGTTTGCTTTTAAAATTCATAGAAGTGAAGCTGCGTAGTCAAAAAAGTTTGTGCCATTAAAGGAGGTGCTTTTACAGAAAATGTGCACCAACTATGCTGTTTCAGTGTCTTTTAACACCTCATTGTGATTGTACAGCACACAGTCAAGTTTCACCACTCTTATCAACTTGGTGAAGACCAAAAACCGAGCTAACAGATATGAATTATTGGAGTTATAAAAGCTAATGTTAAGAAGATACTGTTAGCTAACCTCAACCTTGTCATTTATAAGGTTACAATATTTCAGTTGCGTGTTTACTTGTTCTTTCAACCGACAAGTGGCTTTTAGTTTAAGACTGATAAAGTAATGAAGATAAAGAAAGACTGTGTTAGAGAAATCGTGACATTTTGATGACCTTATTTCATTTTGAAATGTGATACATTGTTGATTCACTCTTTAACAGGATGCTTTGGATGAGTACAACAGGATGAAGAACAGTAAGAAGGTATGTGTTATTGTTGTTGATTTACAGTACAAACAGAATCAGAATACAGATTTATCATGGTCATAATAGCTTCTGCTTTTTACAATTGATGAAGCTTTTATATAAAACTCATACTTATTATGTCGTCTTTTTTTCTCCAATCATATCTGCAGTCTCCAGACTATCTGGTGAAGAAGCGCAGGTGTAAATATCTGAAGTCCAAACTGAACCACATCAAGAAGATGGTCAGTGATTTCGACCGCAGAGCCTGAACAACTACTTGTGGATCTTACGCATGTCCGAGATGAAAAGATGGCACTAAATCTTGTTGGGGTGAAATGTTTGAGGATTTCAGACAACAGAGGAGGAGGTACACTGATGTCGAACACAGAAGTCTCCAAAACAGTGTCTGAGCTGTTAGCTGGTGAAACATTGCAATGGTTGTTTTCTACTTTTGAGACACAGAAAACAAAGATTCCCTCTTGTGTTATGACACTGTTTGTATTACGAGTATCACCTGCCGTAGATACTGTTATATGTATTTATTTTGCTTCATGTTATGTGAAATCAGCTATAAGAGGAGGTTAAGCTACTACATAGTGGAGGGAACACAAAACTAAACTGTTTGTTTTTTTAATTGCTCTTTTTACGTTGATTTATTATGAGATTCCTTTTTATGATGATTCACATTTCTTGCAATATCGATGTAAATATGTGGGAAACGCTGCAATTTTTAATGATTTTAGCAAAGTGTGTTACGGTGTGTTACTTTATGGATGGTAGAACAAACAGACCTTTTTAAATATATGTTTAATGCATACTGATGTACTTTTAAAATGATTTGATCACTCTTTTTTATTATAATAAATACATTTTATTGAACTTTTCTTATGCTGTATTTTTACACAATGGCTTCTCAGACATTTTTAAGACTACAAGCTATTCTCGAAGAACATGGTAAGGATTTATGGGAAACGTGTTAAGAACCAATCTCAACTTGAGGTTGGGTTAAATAAATAAATAATGCTCCCATCAACCCTTACCCTAATGTTAAAAGTATAGCTTGTAGGGACAAAACCACAGAGAATTATCACCTGAAGTTCCCTTCAGCTCTTTGCATCTTTTTAGCTTCTTTTAGCATTGTTTTGATTTTGAACCTGCATATTCTGCTCAGCAACCCTGTTTTCCGGGCAAAAAAAGTTGTGATAAACATATTCTACACAACCTGTCCAGCACAAACAGAAGACAGACACTGTTATTAATTAGCTGGTGAACATAGTGGAACATTTAGCAACTAAAGATACCTATATTTCCCCATGGAGCTGATGGAGACCAAAGCCAGGTCAGCTGGAAGGTGTGTACATATTGAATTTATCTCTCAAGTGGCTAGAAACACAACTTCAGATTAAAGCTAATGTGTTTAGCAAAGTCTGATGGATGTCTTAACTCCTTGCTAACATGCTAACAGCTTCATAAGGTGACAATATATCAGATCCTATGTTTAGCTCGCTCTGCTTCCACCAAAGGCAAGAAACTCTTAACACGGCTTTAGGGAAGTGTTACAAACACGGACGCCATATATACACAGTGACGGCACGCTGAAGCAGAGGAAAGTACCTTAAGTTTGTGGCTTTAGTCGATAAGGATGCTTTGTTTTCTCATATATCTTCTTTGGTTTCCTCATTGAATTACACCACAGAGACACTTAATCACATGACACCATATTTCACATTAAGACACACACTTCTCTTCCCTCCTGGCTGAATTTCAGGCAGTGGTTTTGAACTGTTCAGTCTGCATCGAGTGTCTCCTCAGCAGCATCCTCCTGGTCATCTCCTTGGGATGGCCCGGAGGAGCGGAGGGAAGGAAACTCTTTAGGCCAGACTCTTTCTCACAGATTGCACCCCCAGCGCTGGAGCCGAGGTTATAAACATTAAGGATGGGAGCCAGAGGGGGCAGAGATCTAGGCCTGGCTTGGGAGGTGTGGTCCAACAAGAAGGCCCCAGATCCTCTGCGCTCGTACCCAGACAACACCCTCCTGTTTGGGCCCAAACTCGATAGTGACTCCCTGGAGCCCATTGTGCCGGAGCAGTGTAAGGGAGCCAGCTTCTTGCCATCTAAAAGGTCTCTTGTTCTCTGCTGGGACTCCTCAGGCAGACAGTGGATGTCTCTAGCTAGCTGCGGGTCGGAGCTGTAGATGTCCTCCCCAAGCTTGCGCCTTTGGATAATGCTTTGAAGGCTTGAAGAGGCCATGCTGTGAAGTGGAGTGCTGAGGTTTTTGCCACCAGAGAAGGAGGAAGAGGAGGCGAGGGAATCTGTTCCAAGGTTTACAGAGTGGAGGTTAGGGTGGGAGGCAGAGTGGGAGGACTGGAGACCTGGTACGGATATATTTTGCCCCACATGTTTGTCACATTCATTCTTTCCTTCTACTCCTTTGTCCCTTGCCAATCGTTCTTCATACCATCTGAAGGTCTCTGCTGATGAATTTATGCTGTCCAGTTTGTGAATTCTGAAAGGCAAGTCCTCCGTTTGGTTGAGGTCTTTGCCGTTTTCTGTAGAAGAGGCGGGATGATGATGCTGGTGGAGCAGAGACGTTGGGATCTTTAGCCAGGGCTCAGAGTTCAACCTCATGAGGGGCTGCTGCAGGCCGTACCCCGCCACGTGGCCCAGCCTTTGAAACCGAGAAGGGGAACCAGGATGGGAGCTTACGCCTTCTTTAAACGAGAAGACATTCTTAGGGGGACATAAGGAAGAGGAGGAATTACATTGGGGTGAGGTGATAAGCTGAATTTCAGATGGAGAAGCAGGAGCTGCTGATGCCGTTTTGTCCATCTGATCAAGAGGACCAACAGAAGGCGTGCTGAGGTACTGTTTGGCTTGTAAGTTCCCACATGGGAAATGATCAGTGGTTATGATGATCACCTCCTTCCCCTTGGCTTTGCATGTGTCCAGCAACACCTTCAAAACCTTTAAGTCTCCGGCCATGACTGCGTACACCAGCGCTGACGTCCCGGACTGGTCCTCCAGGCTGATGTCCGCTCCACTAGCCAGCAGCAGAGACACCACCTCGGGGCCGGCCTGCTCCCGGCAGGCGTGCATCAGCGCAGAGCGACCCTCCTTGTCCTGGATGTTGGGGTCCGCTCCTTTCTCCAGGAGGAACTGGAGCAGCTTGACCCGGCTGGCGCTCTGGGCGTCAGTATGCTGGGTCCTGCAGGCCACCATCAGGGGGGTCTGGCCCTGGCTGTCGCTCTCGTTGATGTAAGCCCCCCCCTCCAGGAGCAGCCGGGTGAGACGCAGGCGACGGAGGAACACCGCTCTTAACAAGGGGTTTCCTGAATCCAGCGCCACCGCAGCATTACTGCCTTCTGCCTCCATCCCTCTGGGTCCAAGCTGCTGGGTTTCAGAGATGTAGTAGGATGGGTTTCTGTGGAAAAAAACAAACCACTTTTAGGAAATGATGCTAAAGTAAAGCTATTTTCATTCACAAGCCACGGATAAACTTTTAATTCCCAAGTTGTGACTTTGGGATCGTGCATTCCCAGCTCTCACACATTACCCAACCGCAAAATCCCTCTTTTATTTAGTTTATTTATCATTCAGTGTTTTATGCCGGGTCTCATCTTTGATCCTCTTTACTTGCATGTGAAAGGCTTTGGAAAAGCTGAACATTTACTGTTTTTGTCTTTTCTTCTTGCATATAGGGTCCATTCAACAGCTCCTTTTCATGCGCTCCTCCTCCACAGCACCAGCAGAGGCAGACACTTTCTATCAGCCTTTGTGCTGTTTGTCCTTGCTTCTCTCCATTAGACCAGATAAGATGGCAGTTACAATGTCTCAGACAGGAGAATATAAATGTCCGCATAATGTTGCACTTCTGCGTCATACTGTGTCTCCATATGTTAGTACGTTCTGCCCTGTGTAGGAGAAATCACATACAAGCTGACCTTCATCATCCAGAATGATGATTAGCATGTGTTGCTATTAGCATTTCCCGACATTTCATATATGAATAAACCAATACACTGCTATATGTTTAACCTCCAAGTAAAGGGAATGATTTACAAATCTGTAACATTCAATATATTTTCCTTTTTCATAGTAAATTGAATGAAAGGCCCAAAACCAACTATGTGCAGTATGTATACTAACAAGTATTGTGTGTGGAAAACTATTTTTAAGGGCAAATAATGTACTTTTTACCACATTAATTTGACAAAATTAGGCATTATGTAGATTCAAAATAATAAAACTAAATATAATTCAACTAATAAATGAGGTAGCATTGCTAACCAGCACATATAAAAGTAATTTGAATTAGCAGCTTCAAAATGCAAGTGATATTCACAATAATGCATCAATAACTATAATCCAGTTTTATAATAGTATTGGGAAAAGGACCAACCTACATAATGACTACCTTAAAGGTAGGGTAGGTACGTTTGAGAAACCGGCTCGAGATCGCTAGAATTTGAAAATACACAACCGGAGAAAATCTGCCACTTCCTTATAGAGCCCCTCCTCCAACACACACGAACGCGCACATGACCAATGAGGGCACGAGATAAATTTGTGCACAGATGGAAGGCTGACAGGCAGGTAGGCCATCCAGTTATTTTAGCCGGGCCGGCTAAAATGATTGGTCGTGCTTTTTACAGTACTACGGCTTCCACAGATGACATTTTTTTATGGATTTTTTGTCAAAGCACTTAAGATATTCATTGCTATCGGGATGTTAAGAGCAATCCATGGAATATAACAAAAAGTGTATCTCGAGCCGGTTTCTCAAACTTACCTACCCCACCTTTAACTTTAAATGCTTTAGGTAAATTCTGATGCTAACACTTTTGTAATTTTGCTCAAGAGTTTGAATGCTGGACTTTCCCATCTAACATACACTTTTTTTTACACTGTACTTGGACAGTACAATGAGTTCCCCTGCTAGTCACCTTATAAAAGCACACTCATAAAAGCCTATACGTCATGTTTTCTGTCATCGTCTTTTTCTCCCTTATCCTGTTGCTGCCGTCAGCAATTACATCATCAGTGAAAACAACTGAGCTCTTTCCGCTGGCAGCCACACGTCCAACTCAAACACCACCTGCATGCCTGACAGATGAGATGGAGGTGGTGCGCATTTAATCATGCTCTTTCTTTTTTGGTTGGTACTTTCGCCTAATTACTGTTAAAAATATCAATCATTGAGTTAACCCTTTAACAGAACTCTGCAGTTTTTAATGTGCCCTGGCCTCCTACTGCACATAACTATACTTCACTTCATCTAAGAGAGAAAAATGTGTTTTGTATTTCTTCATTATTATATTTCTGTGACCCTTTACTTTACACAAAATGTCATCCTCTTCTTTTACCCTTATATACCCTTTACCCTGAGTTATTTTATGTTGGTTGGTTTCATTTACTGAAAAACACTGCATCATGTTTAATATGCTTATATAGATTTGAAATATAACTCTTAGAAAAACAGAGCAGTACAAAGTATAATATTTCTCAATTATATTAAATAGTTTGCATACAATGTAAATACTTAAGTGAAGCACAACAACACATTTCCACCATTCATTTTAAGACACTGGTTTTCACATTTCTTTAGATGTGAAATAACAACAGACTATAATACAAATGTCACACCTAGAATCAGCTTTATTACAGGTGGTTCTCCTAAAATGACGGTACAGTGTGTGTAAAAACGGTTACATTTCCCGAAATGTTCACACCTTGAAATTGAGGCTGAAAATCTCTTTTATATGTTCATGTCTTAATACTCACAGTAGCCCTGTCCACTATATGCAAATATTGTATAGTATGTTGCAGTGTTTTGTTTCCATCCTGCCTTCAGATTGAGAATAGAAAACTCCACTTCACCTGAACAAGCCTCGCTCAACACTCATCTTCCATAAGAGCCCACTCACATCACTGTGTGTGTCCGTGTGTGTGTGAGCGCACATATGCTAATTGCTGGTGTTTGTTACTTGTGCACATGTCCGAACACGCTTTCAAATTGACAAGATAAATATATAAAGCATCTTGTTAAATACCACAAAGCGTAAAATCATCCATACATTCAGATTCCTTCTGAGTTCCCTACCACATCATCACAAGAAGACAGCAATAAGTTAATACTAAATGTCCTGTAGTGTGTGTGAACTACTTACCAATCTTCAGTAGGGTTAGTCTTCTCTGGCAGACATTTACTCTCCTGTTGCAGAGCTGCTACTGACTGTGCCCAGGCAGTGCTGAGGTGTGTGTAGGTGTGGTGTGTGTGTGTGTGTGTGTGTGTGTGTGTGTGTGTGTGTGTGTGTGTGTGTGTGTGTGTGTGTGTGTGTGTGTGTGTGTGTGTGTGTGTGTGTGTGTGTGTGTGTGTGTGTGAGTGTGTGTGAGTGTGAGTGTGCGTGAGAGAGAGACAGTAAGTCAGAGAAGACGGGAGCTGCAGCAGTCAAGGTTTCCCAGCTCGTGTTTGCTCCTCAGACAAAGTAGAGTGTTACAGGCTTGTCGTCAGGCAGGTCTAAGAAACGGTTAATCCATCCCAGCAGCAGCAGCAGCAGCTCTGCAGAGTTAACAGAGGCAAACAGGAGAGGTTGACAGAAATGAACGCGTTGAAGGTGAAGCACTATAGCAACCGGGCCGGCACCGCCACACCATGTCTGATCTGTCTTTTCATTACAGGACGCTCTGATTCAGCACAGGCCTGTTAGATTTGAATCTGCCTCACAGGACTTTTTTTTCTTCTTTAGTTGCATGCAGAAAAGAGAAATTGTTTTGTCCACCTTATCAATGACATCTCCATGACAACCATCAAGGAGGCCGAATGACGGCACATGCTGTAATTGTGCTAGAGGAACTGTTTCTTTGTGTCTGTGTGGGAGTGTGCATGTACCTGTGTGCGGATAAGATCTTCTGCATATACTTTGCATGAACATGATTTAATTATTGTGTGATCAAAATAAACATTTGAGTGACTCTTTAATTGAGTACTTGATTTGAATTGTAACATATTGAAACATAAGACAGAATGAGTACAATGACAGGACACACTGTTTGCACTTTGTTATTGCATTAACATAATATCATGTACGCATTGAATATGGAAGATCATTGTCTAGAGTCCTGGAGAGACTGCAGGAGTGAGTGAAACCACTATTGGCATCGTGATAAACAAAATTCTCTGCTGCATGATTTAAAAAAAATGAAACAACACTGTTCTTTGTATCCTTTGCAGACTATTACTAAGCCAGCTGTTAATTGTGCAGACCCGTATCCATAGAAACACTGTGACTTCACGGTGCAGTTTGTTAACCCTACACAAGATGTCAGCATTCCACAAGATTTATCACATTCGTGGACTAACCTTTACTTTCAGACTGCATTGGTTTGAATCTACATGCATAGTAACAAAATAACAAGACCTAAGGAAGTACAAATGTGGCAGATTACTTCAGAACAACAAGAAACAGTTCAAACTAAAGATAAGAAAAAAAACTAATTAAGATAAAAGAGATTGCATGTTTGATTTACGAATAGTGTACTTTTTTAGCTGAAGAATGGGGAAGCAAGTTATTTTTGTAAAAGAAAATACTTTTAAGGGCATAATAAAAAATCACTCTTAATATATGTTATTTTTATCATTGTGTTGGAGAAAAAAACAAGCAGGAACAAGTTGGACAAAACATTTGAAAATAATTATTTAAACCCATTGAGACATTTTTTCAAAAGAGCTAAATGGACAGTTTGCACAACATTGAAAGTGTCAGTTACTGTTTACAATTGTTTTTCTAAAAAAAGAAGAAAACATCTGAATAACTCTTAATTTGTATTTAAAGGAGGACGTAAGCTTTCAGATAAGTTTAGTGTTTGTTGTTTTCATGCTGTTATCCATTTGCAGAGCTCAAACCTGAGGCACTGCTCCAATATTTATGTACCAATATTAATCTGCAATGTTAAAAGTAGGACAATTGTGTCTTTAATGCAGTAGAAATGTACATTAGCAGAAAAAGTAAATCCTCAAATAAAGAACAGATAGCTCAACATTGTAGAATAACTTCTGTTAATGATGTGAATGTCTGGTGTTTGTTCCAGGGGAGGGTCCTCTCTGGGAGTCCTGCTCAGAGACACAGGCGTCCTGCTCCCCCTCTGCCCTGATGGAAATCAGCGCGGTGAACAAATGCCCTCAGCCAGGAACAGAGACACCCACGGGACGGTATGTTTAGCCTCCATGACTAACAGAGGCTCCTGCTTGATGGTCCTCTTAGGGAGATTTGTTTCATAGACATCCACCATGCCTGTCACTGATCCTGCAGAATCTCTAAGTTTTCCCAAAACAGTTTGGGATACCTACAGTGTTCCTTAAAACAGCTGACAAACCTTAAACCAAAGTGTCTTTTAACCAGTGGAGAATTTTTAGGTACTTGTACTTTTACTTGAGTATTTCCATTTTCTGCAACTTCACACTTACATTGTACTAAAAGTACATGTTACTCTACACTACATTTATTTAAAAGTTTTAATTTCTATTAACAAATTCAGATTTAGATTATTAATACAAAATAGTATGCAGGAATACATCATGCTGTAATGTACACATAAATGCATCACTTATTCAAATCAAATTGTATAATATATTATATTCTGAAATGAACTATTCATCATGATGAGGAATTGCACTTTTGGTACATTCAGTATAGTTTTATCCATTTACAAATAATTTTTCAAAAGTATTGTAGTAATTTTTACATTATTCATTTAAATATTCATGCAGACAGACAGTGCATTTAAACGTGAACATTCTCATGTATACATGTAATTTTTACGGAATGATATCGCATTGAGATGAGTAGCATGAGTTAGATTGCCATCAAAGCCACTGAACAAAACTATTTGGAACATGTCACATGAAGTGACATTGAATACTAAATATTGTTTTCAGTTCAATCTTATTTCTGTATCTTTTACAACCACACTCCGTTCCCTTTATCGCTTTGCGTTGTCATTTTCTCTCCATCAACCAGATTCCCTTGCACTTGTTTTTTTTCCTCATCTCTGGATTTTCCAGGCCCACCTTCCACTTTCCTCATTAGTCCTGCAGACATTGAATCAGTCTATATTGCCACTGACTCCTGGACAGTTTATCATAGTTGCAATGTTTCTTAGTCCTTTCTGTCTTTGGCTTTCAATACTCTGACACACAAAGCCCTTTACCGGTCAGACCCACAGACTAATGCTTTTTTTCACAACTCCTTTGGATAAGTTTGGACTGCCTGACTTGTGATTCTCTGCCTACCTGCCTGCCTATAGTAAGAATATACAGTATGTACCTCCACTTAAATCACTGATCTATCCACATCTGACTCAGCTCCAAAATCATTTATCTGGACATGTGTCTCCCATAGGGGATGATCCCGTATGTTAAGATGAACCTCAGCCTACTGCCATCTTGTCAACGTCATCAGACATCCCTGGAGAATGATAGACCTGAACTGTCAGCATCTACACTCACCTGAATATATCTCAAGGTGGGAGCTTTTCTCTCCCTAAATCTGCTGCTTTGACCGACAAACAGGTTCTATTTTGGTGAAAAAAGCTAACCACAGAGACAAAGGGAGCTTTGTTCAAAGTATAGTTCTGTTATGTTTTGTAGTTCAAAGCACAGATATATTACACAGCATGCATTAATTAGACTAAAGGACTGCAGTGTTATTTAAGAGCCTCCTTGAATTTAAAGTGTTTCAAGACATAAACAGAAGAAATGCAGCAGCAGCTTGTAAATAGATCAGCTGATCCACGTTGTGCAACAGAAACAATGCAGATCCTGATCAGTAATGTTTGGTGATTTATGTGCAGCGGTCATAGTGGCAGACACACAGTGATAGTAATCCCCCATAATCCTTTGCTGGCTATATCTACAGATGAGAGTGCTGTTATTAAAGCCCCATATGTCCCTATACCCGAGACCACCCAGTGTGACTTATCACTCACGATAAAAAAAAAACTGTTCATGTCATCACTCCAACAGATTGTTATCTCGTTATATTATAAGAATAGATTTTAAATTCTAATAAGGACTTTGTGGCTTTGCAAATGACTTGACGTAAACACTTATTTTACTTGAAAGCTTAACCAATTGATTTTTAGTATATAATCAATGATCGAAATAACAATGTTTTATGGTAAAAGTGTCGCTCACATTGAAAATATGCAGAATGTGCAGTTCCCCTCAGCTCTTAAAAGCCTTTTTATCATCTTTCGTTGTTTTGGTTTCTTTATATAACTTTACTGTTTTGCTTTAGTATCGCGTTTCTTATCAGCATTGTTTCCTTCAGGCTATGACACGGTTTGCAAACACATTTCCCACAAAACTTTTTGTGAGTTATTTTTCTGATCATCAACACTAACCTGTTCATATTATTTTACGTAGTGTATTTATTGGACTGGCACATAACAAATATTTCATATTTAAATTTGCACATAATATATATTTGCAGTTTTAACTAGGGAGGGAAATATTAAACTCCTTACTTTTATATATTTCTGATAACTGTAGTTACTTTTCAAATTAAGATTTAAAATCAAAATATAACATTTCCAATTAATAGTTTGGACGTTTCATTATCACCTTTTTGAATTAATTAATAAAGATGTGTGTATGCAAACTTAGTTTCTTCTTATTTCCTTTCCCATTAATCATCAAGTCCTCAGATTAATTTGGGGACCCTTGGAGGGGCCTGAACTTGCTGAAGTGACAGATCTGAGTGCTTCTTCACACTTGGTTTTCTGTTGCAAATCCTTGTCTTTTCTTTCTCATGTTATTGTAGTGTGCTTTTAATACATGTACAGCACTTAGGCTCGACCAAAAATCGTTTTTAAATGTGCTCTATAAATAAAACTTGATTTGATTTGATTTTGATTTGGTAGGTGTGCAGATTGTCGAACTGTCTCCCCTTCAGGCTGAAATGAGTGTAAACTGAGCATCGGTCTGGTGCAGCAGTGATGCAACATGTCCTTGCCCTCTCCTTTAACCTCGGGGGATTGTTTCTATCTCCCTGCGGCTCCGCTCATGATATTAAGCTGCAATGAGACTTTTTCATTTGTCAGCATTCCCAATGTTTGCCTGTGGACGCTGGATGTCTGTCTGTAAAGCTTTGAATCTGATAAGACGCGACAGGATGAGGTTAATCTACCTCAGTGGTTAATGTGTTTGCCCACAAAGACTTTATAGGTGCCTGTTTACCTATAAACCCTTGATTGATACATCCACATTTCAATCTTTTCGTTTTATTAGAAAAAATGAACAATCTAAGACATTATTCTATTGAGCGCTGGAACAATACATTATGTAATCATTTATCCTCAAATCAAAACATTTTAATTAGCATTTTAGATTAAAACAATGTAATTACTGAAAAATGCAATATATCCTGGGGTTTAAGCTTTAAGTAATTTTGCTGTTTATTATTTTTTCTGTTATTATATAAATAAATGAAATACATATTTTTGAGGATATATGAAGCTGGTTGATAAAGTTAGTTTCGGCAATTAAAAAATGATGGCCATTTTTCACTATTTTCGGTGATTTTGTAAAGACATTTTTTATCAAAAGATCATCAAAAGATCATATCCAGATTATACAAAAAATAACATAAATTTAACTTTCAGCCCTGTTCTTATTCAAAATCTAAATATCTTATCTGTGTTATTTTAATTCATTCTTTGCCTTTTTATATTCAACATTTTGCCTCATTTGTCCTTATTATTTCAACCCTGGTTTAACTTTTTAAAGCTCTTTTAAACAGTTTTTTGTGCTTAATATTTAAAATGTATAATTCATATTTTGTTGTTTCTCCATTACTTTCCTACAGCATGCTTTATTTGCATCAGAGCATGTGCAGAAGAGTTTGGGGATCGGGGGGGGGGGTTACAGGAGTTGGTGTGCAGTCCCTTACTGCTTCCTGTTTGAGCAGCTGGGAGCAGCTCTGCAGCAGCGTGGGTTTCATTATCCTCCGTCAGCACTGCTGGTGTGGGTGGGATCTGCTGAAAGATATACTCTGTGACATTTTCTGTCTATGAAATGAAAGTTGTGGTCTGCAGTTGTGGAGGAAATATTCTGACCCTTTACTTTGGTAAAAGTAGTATCAGGATACTGAAAAGTCTCTGTTAAAATTCCTTCAGTGAAAATGATACATATTGTGAGTATATTCAGAGTACTCAATGCAGAACTAAATGTCCCCATTGACTTTTATTCTATGATATATAATATCATTAGATTATTAAAAGTGCTATTATCAAAGCCCCTGCTAATATTTTTTACTTTATTTAGCATAATTTTGTTGCTGCATTTTACTGTTGTTCATGGTTAATGGGGCTGATTTCACTATTTCATTTAATGTCAGTTAAGATTGTAAAAAAATAAAAAAATATTTACAATTTCTTAACATTTGTAGTGCAGACCTAAAAATGATGGAATATTAATTTAGATCTCTTTTAAGAAAAGCAGTAAAGCTTTACATTTGATAAGCCATACTCATATAACATTTGTAGTTTCTCCTGCAGAGAAACACAACATCTGTATGTTTTGTGTTAAAAAATCTGAATCTGTAACGTGCCTAAAGCTTCCAGACAAATGAAATGCAGTAAAGTATGAAGTGGCGTTCCCACCAATCTGAACCTGAGTGCAGTACTCGAGTAAATGTACTCAGTTACATCCCAGCACTGTAAGCAGGTCAGCGTGGAGTCGGGTTAGACTTCATCACAGTAAACTGATACTAAGCTGCCTAACAGATTAGACTGGCATCGTCTGTGCGTGACATTGTGTCTTTTGATGGTGTGATACATGTGTTATCTGTTACACCAGGTCCACCCCAGTTGCATTTACCCGACCTCAGCCAGACCCTGACCTCTGCGACTGGAGGGTTGAGGGCTGGAGGGGGGGTTAATACTCCTCCGTCCCTCCAATCAACCACCACATCATGCACAGTGAACAGAAGTGAAACAGCTCTGTGGAAGCTTAGTAAAAAAAAAAACACGAATGTATGCACATTTAACATCTGTCTCCATGCATTTACACACACACACACACACACACACACACACACACACACACACACACACACACACACACACACACACACACACACACACACACACACACACACACAGACATCTGCTTGTGCATTCAGGCTGGATGTTTCAAAGGCAGTTTCAATACAAACACCCGTCTTCTGAAGCATATCATACATTTACAAAAATAGAAACTTCTGCTTTTGTTCTGTGTGTGTGTGTGTGTGTGTGTGTGTGTGTGTGTGTGTGTGTGTGTGTGTGTGTGTGTGTGTGTGCATGTGTGTGTGTGTGTGTGTGTGTGTGAAGACTGAGAAAGATGCAAAGACCTCTGGTACGCAGGGATATTGTGTGTATCGCAGTTTAAATGACTGTATTTCCAAAATGTCCTCAATTTAAACTAGACATTTGTGTGAAATTGTCATAGTTAGAATTTGAACAATTTAGCTTTGGCCAACATTTTTTTGTGAAGTCGGTGACCCAACAGTTAATGTGGATTAAAGGATATATTCACATGTCTGTCCTAAAACAAAACTCACGTCTATATGATATAAGAGATGGTAGAGTTGCTGTAATCATTTATTTTGTTCATCATGGTCCTCGAGTAATAGGTTTATAAAATAATTTCAATGTGTGTTTTTATCTATCTTGTACATTGTATTAAGCCATATTACATTTTACAAATGAAAAGAAAGGCAAAGTTACTTAAGGTAAGCCTACTATGAACGCAAAGTTAGAAGGAAAAGAAAATTAGGGAGCATCAGATGGCTGCAAGTCAAACTCTGTGAACGAAAGCAATTTCAATTTTAGTCAAAGTTAATATGAAGGTTAAGTAGTTGGAGATAGAAAAAACAAGTGAATGTCATCATACGTTGTTTTGAGATACTTGTGAGACACAAAACGAAAAAGTAATGCACTTAAATTACTGTAACCTTTATTTGATTTGTCCAGCTCAGACTGCTAAAACCTCAAATAAGCTTTAGTCTTCAAAAAGACATTTGGACTGAGACTGCTTTAGAAAAACATTTGGACTGAAACTGCTTTAAAAAGAGATTTGTTTTTGTCCAGTTTGGACGAGAGTGACGAATGCAACAGACAAAAAACAATTGAACAAACAAAAAGCTAAAGAAAATATGTGTATCGCTCCTTTAATCCAACATGGATGTCAGCCAAAACGCCTCACTGTGATACTAGTGTACACTTTTGGCCCCTTCACGCGCCCCTGCACCTTGGGGCGTTCCTGGGCTCGTGCGCTCCTGTGAGGCGCAGCGGCAGGCTGCAGCGACCTGTCTCTTTAAATTGGTGTCAAAGCCGATTACCGTTGATCTCCATCGTGATTCTGTTTTCACCGTCTGTTCCCTCAATCTATTTCTGTTTTGCGTCGCTGCCGGGACGATAAGCTTTCTCGTTTTGATACATTTTCGCAGGTAACTCCTGCAAACTTTGGAGCATGCTGAAGTGTTTCCTGCAGGCTCTGCTTTTTCTGGGAAAGCCGACATTAGAGCTGTAATCTGGCAGTGAGCTGCTGAGTGTGATGTGAGCTGCACCGCGGACTAACTTTTTGTACCATGGTAAACCTGGATTACCTTTCCCTGCTAACGGAGTTTTGAAGCGCGTTCTACCCACGGCAGTGAGCGCCTAGTGGGGATGTGATGTGATGCCTCGGGTTACTGTTTGAAAGTTGGCACCTAAAATAAAAACCTAAATCCGGGTGGACATAAAATGCAGAAGGGCGTGCGGTACAACGAGGGCCACGCTCTGTTTCTGTCTGTGGTTGCCCGTAAAGAGGGCTCAAAGCGCGGCTTCCTGAGCAAGAAGACCACGGAGAACAGCCGCTGGACCGAGAAGTACTTTGCCCTCTACCAGAACGTGCTCTTCTACTTCGAGAACGACCAAAGCTCGAGACCCTCCGGGATATACCTGCTGGAGGGATGCACGTGCGAGCGGGCACCTGCACCCAAAGTCTCCGCCATCAGCAAGGAGCCGGTGGAGAAACAGCAGGTGAGCCCCACTAAAGAGAGCGGGAGACAGGGGGCAGTGGAGATGGAGCACAGTTAAAAATTAAATAAGGGTGCTGTTGTATTTCTTTGTGATTTAGGTAATTAAGTTATTCCTTTTTCTTTTTAAATAAATGTTTCCTCTTGAGCCTCATTTGCTTCCTTTCGGCCAACGTTGTATGCATTGATCTGTGTTTGTTTCCACTTCTACAATAGTATTTCCTCTACATTCAGAATGCACATTTTCAGCACTTCTGTGATTCTGACAAATTCATTTAAGTGCAAAGCAGCCAGGAACCCAACATACAAGAAAAGGACATGCACTACTATAAATTGTATATATCTTCAGTGACAATTATTCAAAAATATTATTAGAGAACAGTTAAAGGTTGTGAAATAGTTTCACTATAATACTATAGGTAAAAACAGAATAATAATGTAAGAAATTAAAGTATCATACAGTTTGTTTATACGCCTTTGTCTTTAAAAGCCTAGAGTTTTACATTTGTAATCACTACAAATATGAATTATTTATAATATCAAAAAGTGTTACGGTCTACAGACTTCAATAAGATATTTTCTCAGCTAGAGTCTACCTGATTATAAACTCTGTGTTGTAGTTTCATGTTATGTTTGGCTTAAAGTCTAAAACCCTAAACTTAAAGAAAATATTCACATCTGAGTGGATTTTTCCTACAAATGACTTCTATCTAAACCGGTGCTGTTTCAGTTTCGGTCCACTGATTATTTGAAAAAACATTTGAGCTCTAAGGTTCACTTGATCCTCCTCTATTGAGTTTATACAGACTTCTCTTATGTACAACTTCATGTTCTGCAGTATAGTCATTTACATAATACGTTCCTGAACATATCACACCAGTCTCTTGTATTGCTGTGAGATCCTGTACTCTGTATCGTGTGCAAAGTAACACGTCCTATATAAAGATTGTCTGTATAGATGTAGACATAAAGGGCCTGATACTATTGATACACTTGAGTTGTCAACACAGTTAGCCCCTATGAAAATATCTGTTCTCTGAGAGCTAATTTTAAATGACCCATATTGTGCTGCTGCAGGCTCTGAAGATGTGTTTCATCTCATCAGCAGCAGGCGTGATATAGATGAGTGTTTATTTTCAAAACTATAATAGCACTTGAATCTAATGTTCTCATCAAAATGCAGGTTATCTGTCATGCCTCTTTGGAGAAATGCTGCTTATGACACCCCGACTCAGTCATGACTTCACATTTTTTAGAGGCAGAATAAAACCATACTATATATACTTTTTGGACATTGTCCGCCTACACTTTGTTCCCATTTTTGGGGTGATTCTTTTGCAAGTATGGAGTTACATTTGTCATTGAAACTGCCCTAATAAGTCTGTTCTCAAGTCTATGTATTTCATTTTATTGACATTTTAAAACTGTGAGAGATCGTGAAGAGAACACAAATACTTTCCTACCTTATTAATGAAAAATAAGACTCTGCCTATCACTACAAAACATATTGCAGTTATGTAATGAATATTGTTTTAAAAATGTCCTTTTTTATTGTTATTGAAGAGAGGTAGTCTGACAAGGGAGTTTCTTTAATTGTATTCCTACCTCATAGTTTTATTTCATTTCAGGCTTCCCCCTGTGAGAGCTGTTTATATAAAAGAGATTACATATTTTTGTGTGCACTACAGGTTATTAAGGTTTTTGTCTATAAAAGAACGATATTCCTGTCTCTGTATCGGAGCTTTATTTTCCTCATCACAATCCAACATGAGGTAATGGGTCCAATATGTCAGTACATGGATTACTGTTAGGGATTTATCACTGCCTTTAGCAAAGAGTGCATCCCTTTTTGAAATTCCCTTTTTATACATATTTAAAATGTGTTGGGGGCTTTATATTATAGTGGAGACTAAGGTACAATGGCTCAACTAGGTGATTTGGATGTGTGCTAAAATGTAGTCTGCATCACATCAGAAAGCAAAGCTGCTGTTACAGAGAAGTTAGCACCTCTGACAATATTTCTCTGTAACATTGACATACTGCTAATTTCCCTCATGCCCCGCCATATTGTGAAAATCAATGTCTCTGCTGAAATTAAATGTTTAAATTGGTAAACACTGTCCAACAGGGATGCTTCTCATCATTGCAATATAGAGGGGAAATCTCATAACTATTGGATAGATTGGCACATCATTTTGTAAAGACACTCATATTCTCCAGTAAACTAATTGAGATGACTTTGGTGGTCCTTACCAACTATTGGATAAATCGACATGAAACTTGACAAAGACAATCAGACACAAAAGGCTTCATACAACAGACATTTTTCCCACATTTGCATTAAATCCTGGAAAACACTTGTACTTGCAGAGCTCCAACATGTTGTTTAGTCAAAGGGAGTGTTCCAAGGAACTAGTAACAGTTGGGAGAGTCCTGCTTCTTTAGAAAGAAAAATAAGAAGTTCAATTCTCCCCCCCACCCAAATATGTTCGTACAAACCGAAAAGGCACACTTTGGGGAAACCTCAAATTCATCTTCTTTTTTTTTCAACACCTAAAAATCCCCTTATAAATTCAGTCTGGGTTGATCGTCTGTGCATCCCCACTTGAGAGCAATCACTGTATTCTCAGCAGAGTCGGTATGTGTCCATTGTAGTTTCCCTGCAGCAACACCTGGTCCTTTCTCCCGCAGAGAAACACTCATCACTGCATCTCTGCAGATAAAGGAGTTTTCAGTAATTGTACTTGGCCGGGAAAAGAACAAGGAGGGCAGTTTTTACTCCAAATACCCAGTTTGCCTCTGGTTGTTTTTTTGTTGCACATTGTCATTGTTCATTTGTTTCATTACAGGCCTTTTTAAAAGAACATTTTCCCAGAGTAGAGTGTTTTGTGTTGTTGGACTTTTGCAGCTCACATGTAAAACCTGTTACCAGAGAGGTATCGTTAGCAGGAGGCAGACGAAGAAGAGTGAAATCTGTCAGTATCATTTTAAACACGCACACTTGTATAGAGTGTGATGTCATGTTTCATAATGCAACATAGAAATCATGAACCATTACGAGTAGAAGTTCTTCCTCTTTCTTCATGTAGATTTCAGGGTTCCTTTTTGTTAGGCCATGTAAAAGATCTCCTCATATAAAGTCATTTGTATTGGTATCTTAAAAACTTCTAAAACAAGTAGAAACCATTCCTCTGTTAATGCAATAAGACTGCCTAAACGATTTTCTAAATAATTAAACTCACTTCGAGAATGTACTACTGAAAATAAAGAACACAGTCACTAGAAACACATGATATGAATGTAGACTTCAGACAACAATTTGATTTGCATTTGGAGTTGCAAATGCTTGTTTTAAGATAATTCAAAGACGGACTTACAGTTTAGGAAATAAGTTTTCATGAGCTACAACCAAAAAGAGAAGGATTTTCAGCATCTGTAACGGCTCTTTTTTTGGTGTTTCTCTATGACAGAGGTGGGTAAGGCTGACCCATGCCATGCAGGGTGACAGTTTGGCATTAGAGGTGCGGGGGGGCTGTCTGCTCTGAGGTCAGCACTGCCAGCAGGAAACCAGAGGGGACAGTACACACAAGCCAGATTCAACACCCTCTAAAGAAGTCATTTAATAAGGCTTCAGGTCAGGTTAGGTTAGAAAAGTACAATGACATGTTGTTTGAAGGCCAAAGTGTTTCACTTCTGGTGGGAGTGAAAGGAGTGATACAAGTTTGTACTGGGAAAACCCAATGAATTGTACACATGAAAAGTGATAGTAGTTCATGTTTCTGCACAATACTACCACTTATGAAACAGCACAGCCCTTCCACTAAATCTAATGCAAACATTTTTCACAGTACTTTGACATATTGTTATTGTATTCCCATTTTTCTACATTTACATTTCCTGTTAACATGTTTTAATGATTTGTTATCTGCTTTTAGTATTCATCTTAATTTGTCTTGTTATTTGTCCTTGTATGTGTAAACCGGAGTTGGTTCTGATTTCTTAATGTATTGTTTATTCCTTAACAATCAGAAATCTGAAAATGTACATCACAATTATTCCTAAACTCCAGATGACTTCATCAAATGTCTTGTTTTGTCAAAGCAAAAGGAAAATAAAATATCTATAAGGCATAATGCAGCAAAAGCCACTGAGGAACCATCAAGTGTTTGGCATTTTTACGATTAATCCATTATCAAAGTAGTTTCATTTTTGAATCAACTAACTGTAGGAGCTACAGAGAATACAGCTGTAAGAACATGAATACTTTAATTAACTTTTAATTGCCATTTTACCATAGTTTGTATGCGTAGAGATGCAGTTCTGTGTCAGAAGAAACTCATAACATCCAGACTAACAGAAGCCTCTCTAGAATCACGACACACAGAGACTCATTGTTTGATCTCCGGCTGATGGAGGCCAGTGTGAGCTCGATCTAAAGCCGGTTTCTAATGCAGCAACATTAAAGTCGGATAAAACATCAGAGAGTATCAAAGTACTCTTGTGAAATTGGTAACTCGGCTCATTTGATGTCCAGTCTCTGCACAGATATGAAATATTCAGTGTCCTGTTCCTGTGTCTGGTCATAATAATGCTGTTCATTAACATGTCTGTGATCAGGTCTGTGATGTCTTCAGTGTTCCTCTCGTCCTTATTTTATTTGCAGTTAGATTTGAACTACTGAGAGTGAGTGACTTTAATGAGGAATTATTTATTTTAGCAAATAAAAGCCATAAAAATACAAATATAATAGGAAACGGTCCACCGAACAGTCAGTTAATCACTTCACAATGGTTACATTTAGAACACTTAAATATTTTATTTATACTCATCTTTGTGAAGTTAAATCTTCCGATTCGGCTTTGCAAATTCAAAAACATGAATCGCAGTATATTGTGAGGTTTACAAATTCAAAGAATTAGATTAAACTATGCAAAAGAAGTTGTCTATTTGAATAGTTGCTGATTGATATTCAAAGTAAAATATTTCATGATATATATATTCATA